TGGACTGGAGCAACGGCTGAAATGTTTCAAAGGATCAGCTATACAGATGTGCATGCCCTTTGAAATGTTCCAAAAGCAGCTGAAGAACCCCAGGACAGGACTTCTGTAAAAGAGACGCTATTATGGCGCACTCTTTACATGTATACAGGGAGAAAGGACTCGTATCCCACAGCTCCTCCCCACCCCACTTGCTGATCACTTCCTGTGACTTGCAAGCGACACTCCTGTTAATACATCCCAGGATACTGTCAGCTTTTTTTGTAATAAGAGCACACTGTTGGTTTATATTAAGCTTACGGTCTCCTGTTACTCCCCGGTCCTTCTCAGCAGGACTGCGGTCTGTTTGTGCATGCAATTGTTCTGTCCCAAGTGCAGGACTTAGCACTTGTTCTTGTTGAAGTTTGTCTGGTTGAGCGCAGAGCATTTTCCCAGTCCATCTTGGTCATTCTTGATCCTAGCCCTACCCTGCAGAGTGTCTGCAACTCCACCCAATTTAGTGTCATCCACAAATCTGTTAAGTATGAACTCAGTCCCATCATCCAAATCATTAATGAAGATGTTAAATAATACCAGACCTAGGACAGGCCCATGGGGAACCCCATTTGATACCTCCCCCCAATTAGACATTGAGCACTATTCGCTGAGTACAATACTCCAACTAGCTATGTATCCACCTTCCAGTACTTTCATCTAATCTGTATTTCCTTAGCTTATTAATAAGACTGTTGTAGGAGATGGTGTTAAAAACCTTACTGAAGTCAAGGTACATCTCATCCACTGTTCTCCCCCCAAACATGGAGCCTGTCACCTTATAATAGAAGGAAATCAGCAGGCATGGCCTGCTCTTGGTTAATCCATGCTGGCATTGTGATCACCTTTTTCTCCTCTAGCTGTTTCAAAATTGATTCCTTGAGGACCTGCTCTATGATCTATCCAGGGATCAAAGTCAGATGTACTAATCTGTAATTTCCTGGATCTTCCTTCTTCCTTTTCTTAAAGATGGGCACTAAATTCTGACTTTATCCAATCATCCAGGATCTTACCTGACTGCCAAATTTGCCTTTATCCAATCATCCAGGATCTTACCTGACGGCCACAAGTTCTCACAGAGGACAGCCAATGGTTCTAAAATTACTTCAGCTAATTCATTCAGTACTCTAGGGCATGACCACACATGCAGGCACGTGCACTTGTGGCAGCTCAAATACCAGCAGCACAAATTTGTGCCAGAGATTTGTGTTTCAGCACACGCCTGAACATGCACTTTGGTGTGGGGCAAGTTGTACAGGCACTGAAACAGATGCCTGCACCTCCAGGCTAGCTGCTATTGGGCCATATCTGCACAGTTGGCCTTTGTGCGGCACTGCTGTCACGTCTTCTGATGCACCTACTCTGCCACCTGGGCAGCTGTTGCCCAGAAGATGTGCTTGTTGCAGTGGTCTGCTTCGAACTGTCGAAGCATGTCCTCTTGGCCCCAAATGGCCAGGTCACCCACCTTGTCTGCCCTCCAGCTGGGTCCCCGGTGCTGGCCCTGGGCCCCCTTTGCTCACCAGGATGTGGGATGGTGAGCAGCACTGAGATGTGGGTGCTGACTTGAAAGCATCTTCTCTAAGTAACCCCTAATCCAGTGATTCTCAACCAGGGTGCTGTAGCTTGCATCCACAAGTTCAGGTTGGTCAGGCATGGCCAACAGTTCAGCAGTGACGGACCACTTCTTTTTTGTAAGGGGAATGGGAGCAGAGGTTGTCTTCTTGCATTCTCCTCTCCAGACTCTAAGGTGTTTCAACCCTTTTTGCTTCCCCTTGGCCATTCCAGAGCGGTCTCCAAGATGGGGAAACATTTTCTTAATTTGTGTGGAAGCGTTTGCTGAATTTTTGATACTGTGAGCTGCAGCTGGGGCAGCTCGCTGGGACACGGGACTACTGGTTTGTGGAAAAACATTGGGCACTATTGAATTCTGTTTGTGTTGCACATTGAGATTTCATAGATGTTAGGGCTGGAAGGGACCTTGAAGATCAGCAAGTCCTGCCCCAGGGGCAGGAAGCCGGCTAGGGCCAAAGGATCCCAGCAAGATAAACATCCAAACGTTTCTTGGATGAATCCAGAGTAGGTGCCTGCACCACTTCTGAAGGGAGTCTATTCCAGGTTTTGGGGGCTCGGACAGTAAAGAAATTTTTCCTTATGTCCAGCCTAAAACGGTCTTGAAGGAGTTTGACTGTTGGTCCTTGTTTTCCCTTGGGGCGCTCTGGTGAACAGACGTTCTCCCAGATCCTGATGTACGCCCCTTATGTACTTATAAACAGCCACCAGGTCCGTCTCCCTCCCGAGACTGCACTTTTCCAGGCTGAAGAGTCTCATGGCTGTCAGCCTTTCATCCTAAGGCCTATTCTCCTGCCCTCTGATCATGCGCGAGGCTCTCCTCTGGACTCTCTCAAGCTTCTCAACATCCTTCTTGAATTGCAGAGCCCAGAACTGGATGCAGTAGTCCAGCTGCAGTCTCACCAGGGCCGAGTACAGCGGGAGGATGACATCCTGGGATTTACTTGAGAAGCATCTATGGATGCAAGCCAGAGTTTTGTTTGCTTTACGAGCTGCGACTTTACATTGGTGGCTCATGTTCATCTTGTGGTCAGTCATGAGCCCCAAGTCTCTTTCAGCCGTGGTGCTAGCAAACAGCCCTGCCGAGCCTATAAATGTGCTGCGGGTTCCCTCCCCCCGCACCGAGGTGGAGTACCTTACATTTATCAGTATTGAACGTCATCAGGTTTGTGTCCACCCACTTACTAAGTTTATCCAAGTCAGCCTGGATTGCTAGCCTGTCCTCAGGTGTGGACGCTATGCCCCAAAGTTTAGCGTCATCGGCGAACTCGGCTGGCTTTGCCGAACTTGTCACTTCTTAAACCAATGTCCACATCATTGATAAAGATGTTAAAGAGAACCGGTCCAAGGACAGAGCCTTGGGGGATGCCACTGGTCACAGAGCGCCATAATGACTTGTTGCCATTGACCACTACTCTCTGGGTCTGACCTCGGAGCCAATTTCCCAGCCATTGAACTGTGGTGTAGCCGAGGCCACAGTTGGCCAATTTTTGCATAAGGAGATCCTGGGACACCAGATCAAAGGCTTTTTTAAAGTCCAGATATATGATGTCAATCTCTTCTCCCTTGTTCAGGTGATGCATCACCTGATCATAGGAGGAGATGAGATTGGTCAGGCAAGACCTACCCGTGACAAACCTGTGCTGGCCGTCCCTCAGGATGTTGCCATCAGCCAGTTTATCAAGAAGGGTCTCTTTGATAATTTTCTCCAAAATCTTACCAGGCATTGAGGTCAAGCTGATTGGCCTGTAATTCCTGAGATCTACTTTCCACCCTTTCTTGAAGATGGGTACCACACTGGCCTTTTTCCAGTCTTCAGGTACTTCACCTGTGCACCAGGAATTTTTGAATATTTTTGTCAATGGTTGGGCTATGACACCTTCCAGCTCCTTGAGTACTCTAGGGTGTAATCTGTCAGGACCAGCCAACTTGAAAGTGTCCAGCCTATCAAAGTGATCCTTTATTAGGTCTACACCGATGCCGGGTATAAATATGCCCTCACCCTGGCCGTCCCACGTCATGCTAGGCAGGGTGGTCCCTTTGGGCTGATGAAAGACTGACGCAAAGTACCCATTAAGCAGGTTGACTTTCTCCTGGGTGTCGGTTCTCAGTTGTCCCATTTGGTTCAGCACTACATATCTGAAAAAGAACTTATTATTATCCTTGCTATGTGAAGCCAGATGGAGCTCGGTTGCAGCCTTGGCTTTCCTGATCCGCTCCCTGCAGTCACGGACCAGTGCTGAGTGCTCCTCCTTGGCGGTACTTCCAGCCTTCCATCTTTTATAAGTCTCTCATTTTAGGCAAAGGAGGTCCTCAAATTCCCTGCTGAGCCAAGGGAGTTGCTGTGCCCTTTTGCTACCCTTCCTCCAGGATGGGATGGCCATCCCTTGTGCTGTCATGATCACCCCCTTGAGGAGCAACCACTTCTCTTGGACTCCTCTTCCTGTCATGTCATGGTCCCTTAGGACATCGACAAAGTCAGCTTGTCAAAGTCAGTTTTCCTTAAGTCGAGGACTTCATTATTGCTGACTGACTTGTCAGCTTTGCGATGGACA